GCAGTATTTCTGATGATGTGATTTTGATCGTGGATGAAATGTTTCTTCAGAAGTGCGAGGAGTACATTTCTGGTTTATCATATGGCGAAGATGAACAAGGTGAGCTGTATAAAAGTTTGGTATGTTTCATGATCGTTGGGTTAAATAGTAACATTCCATATGTTGTGAAAGCCCTTCCCGAGAAACAAATAACTGGGAAATGGTTAAAAGACGAGCTTTTAGCCTGTTTGAAACTACTTCAAGAAAACGGATTCCGTGTCAGAGGAATTGTATCGGATGTTTCATTCTTCGAAAGTCAATTCATACAAAGAATTGCGCTCTGCGTGTGGCGCCGGTGTTGATGATCTGTATATCACACTGAATAGTCAGAAGACCTATCTGTTTTTCGACTCTGTTCACCTGGTGAAGAAAATCAGAAATATTTTGCTGAATCGCAAAAGGTTTCTTTTCCTACTTTATGTTTTACTGGGTTTTATGACCCTATTTCAGTAAGCGGAGGAGAGATTTCATGGCGGTTACTTCATGAGGTGTACGAGAACGATCAGAAACTTGAGGCAAATTTAAGGGCAGCGACTTAACTTAGTTCGAAAGTTTTACACCCGGGTAATTGTAAACAGAATGTACCCGTAGCTTTAGCCATTTTTTCACGTTCAACTGCTACCGGCATAAGACATTACTTTCCTGACAAAGCCGACGACGCTGCAAGTTTCCTGCACCTTGTTGATGTTTGGTGGACAATTTGAAATTCAAAATCCCGATTTAACACCTCTAATCGCCTTGGGAATGCTGCAGTTCTCAATAACAAAAAACCCAAATTCTTGAGAGCCTTTGCAGATTGGATTGACGAGTGGGATAACCTTAAATGGCCGAATTGCGACAAATTCAATCTTACTGCTCAAACTAGTCATGCTCTTCAATGCACCCTTTGCTGCCATGCTGCTTTAATTGAAGAACTTTTAAGTGAGGGTTATTCATATGTGCTGACTTTGCGCTTCCAGAGTGATCCTTTGGAAAACGGTATGGTCAGTACTGCCAAATGAGTGGTGATCGTTTTTTAGTCGGCTTAAAAGATGTGGTATTCTCAGAAAAGATTCTAAAAATAAAAAGCCTTGTGAAGGGAGGACTGGACATTGATGATGGGGTCAAATTCACCGATGAAAAATCACCGGAAAAAGTAGCAGAATTTAGAGACTCCGTGCAGTCAATCATATCTGAGTCTATAAGGATATGTTTGACGGATGCTTCTAAGGAAATTTCTGATAACGTTTCTGGGTACATTGCAAAAAACTGATTAAGTTTGCAATAGTTGCTGCGAGCAACTACTAACCAATAATGGTGTTTCGCCATTTGTGCAGTTACTTTCTCGTGGCAGATTGAAGATCCATCTACTGCGTTGGGTAATTTTGTTGCTCATGGATTTGCTGTACTGAATGCAGCAGCAAATATTATTCAAGACTCTAGCTTCACTGTTATTTTTGAGGTGTTGAACTAGCACTTTCTCTAGTGCTAAACTGACACCCACCGGTGGTGTTAAATAAAAGGTGTTATTATAACACCAATATTGGTGTTGATTTAACAACATATGACCTTAAACATATTGTAGCGTGTCAAATTTACACCTCAACACTTTAACACCTAATTAATAGTGCTGAAATAGCACCTTGCTCTGCCACAAAGGTGCTAAAGTAACACTGTTTTTTGGTGTTAAGTGGTTGGTGTTAAATTAACACCATTAGCAAGAGTTACAATAATTTATAAAGGGCGTTATTTCTGCACCACTCTCCTTGTAAAATCATGGGTGTCAAAATAACACTTATTTTAACTGTTTTTAACTTATTTTATACTTATATCAAACTGCAGCTGTTTTCGTTCTGACACGGATAACAGAACAGTTGACTTATGCGTTCATTTAAACAGTTTAAAAACTTCGTAAAAAATAGCGGCAATACATATGTTATATTAACCAGAGCTGGATTAAGCATGGATTTTATAGGGGGGAACCTTGGCTTTGTGAGTTCTTTAAAACCTAAAAGTAATAAGAAATACCGTTTTGGCACACCTAAATGTAACCGTGTTGACCAGAACATAGATGGGTGAGCACCCCTGTGCACCTGCCCCCCTTATAAATCATTCACTGATAATAAGTACACAGGTTAAACAGTAAATAGAACAATTTATACCAAAGATAATCAGCTTTTTTAGAAAGGCCATAATATATACATTACGATAATGCATGAATATGCTGTGTTCAGGAAAGTAAAATTTATTCTACATCTATTTCATATCTATGGCAAATGTATTTTGTGTTACACCCAAATGGCTTTATCAAGTTAAATGGCAAATGTGAGGTTAACTCTTTAAAATATTTAATTTTAATTTCCTTCTGTTTTGACTGAGCAACTTCATAAGCCTGATAATGTTCAGAAAACCTGACAGTCTGTTTTCTTGAAACAACAAACATGGCATTTGCAACATTTTGGTTAATGATATAAATACCAATAACTTCCCAAAACTGGGGAAATTCAACATCATCATAACCAATGTGGACAGTAGCTCCTACTTTATATTTTGTTCCATTGATAGTAATCCATTTGGTACTAAAATTATAATAGGAAAAATATTAATATTATTTAGTTCACAGCAATTAATTGTGTACATAAACTTTACTGAAAAGCAAGTAAATAAAGAGCAATTTCAAGCAATTTCATCATTCACAATGAAGATATTTCAGTCACTCGACTAATTACATCAATCTGACTTACCTATACAATGGTGTTTGTCTGTTCACTTCAGGAGATTCTGTTCGAATGAGCCCACTCTCTTCAACATCACCAACATATAATGTTTTACCTTCAGAAAGACGAACATAAGTTTCTCTAATTACTGTAGCTGTAGCTTACATAAAAATAAAACCAACTCAGGATAATGGATGCACCATTGAGCTATAACTATATATTGTATCTGAATGAAAGAAATCATTAAGAAATGCACCTGGCCCAATTTCAGTGCCTTTGCAAATAAACGTGCTATTTCCACCTTCAGCAGACTGTAGGCGATAACAAACTCCTTCTTGGTGCCTCTTTGCCAACGAGTATGGTAGGTTTATAAAATTACCAATCACTATTGCCAACCTCTTAAAGTAATGGTGTTTTGCTTCGTAGCGCATGCACCAACTTCGCACAAGAGGCCCAAATCTGTTAATTGATACAGAATACAAGAAAGAATTGTAAATTAGTTTTGAAAACTGCAGGTTTTTGAAGCCACATGGTTTGTAATTGTAAATCAGAATTCTAAACTTACTGAAGTATTGCTCTTGGCATATGAACCATGTAGTGCATCTTTGGAATGATACTGCATTCTGGAAACAATTCTTTAAAATTTTGTAATAACTTTTGAATGAGTATTTGAAGATATGAAACTTGCTCTCTGCTCACAATTGGAGTAAAACTTATACGAACAATTTGAAGTAAGGTACAGAGTAACCCCCAGTGCTGATCATCTACTTCTATAAGGTCACCAATAAGAAATGGCAAATGTAAGCCAAGACACCACATCTGATTTGCTAATAGGACGGAAAAGCGTCACAAATTATCTTCCTGAGGGAACGTGTGCTTATTACTTCATTTTAGGGATCCCTGACCTTAGAATACCTTATGGTATCAAATAGTTACATACTGTATATAGATCTATATAGAATTTAAGGATTTTTAAAATAGTGGAAAGGACATTACTGTACCGTGCTGCTTTAAACTATTGTCTGATGAAAGAAGTCTTTGGGCTTGAATTGGAGCAGGTTTATTGGTATCATTATGATAACCAAAATCAAATGCCTGCATCCTTTTATTAAGGTCGTCTAGTTTGAAGTATCTCTTTTCAAAGATGAATTCTTTTAATAATTCTTTAACAATGTATTGTAGCACACCTTCCAGTATATCATGCATAGCATCTGGGGGGAGTCCTCCAATGACATGATAGTACTTTGAGTTGTTAAGTAAAGAAAACTGATTCAGGCCATAAGTTTTTGAAATGCTCTCCTTGGTCCAGTTTTGACACTGCTCATTGTAACCTTGCACTGTTCAAAACAAAGTCATCCTCATGAAACTAAACAAATAAGTTAAATTAAGTCACCCTAAGCACAAACAGTATCTACCACTGAAACCATTTAAATTAAGTAAACCAACACATTGTCTGAAGTAAAGCACTTTTATATGAACTAAGTACTTTTATTTTTCAAAGTTTACATACTATGGAGAAAGCATAAACCATGCAATAGATGCAGTGGCAAGTGTCAATTAAGCATTACTGTAGCTACATTATATATACCATTTCAGTTATTTCTGTAGCATTTCCCATACAGACTCTGCATTTTCTGTAAGACTGTGATCCTTGCTTAAACCCACCAAGATATTGTGAACCAAGATTATCTCCAGATATAAATGCAATTGTTCCTGCAAAGCATCTTCGCTGATTATTTATTATAAACTCATAGCCACCAACCTAAAAAGTTAATTTATTCCTTAATTTATTAGAGTTCTTAAAAGAACAAAACATGAAAAACATGCATCAACACTAGTCCAATACCTGTTCTAATTTTTGAAGGTCTCTAAGAAATGCTCTTAGCACAGGTTCCACACCATATATCTTGAGATGCTTACTAGACACTAGTCCAAGTAGTTGAATGGAATTGAGGTGAGACCGGTGTTCAGGGCGTATATTGCCCAATGTATAATAAAAAAGCGGCTATATGAAATGCAAAAGGTAACCGGAAAATTTAATGAAATAGACATTTTTAAACCTACAGTATGGGAATTACAAGCACATTAAATTAAATTATGGTACTAACCTAATTTATGTTTGTTAGCTCTTGATCCTAATGGGTTACAAACTTCTACTTCATCAAAATAAATAAGAAGTTGCAATGCCAAGGGATCTTTACTGAATAGTGGGTGCTCTTTAAAGCCTTCACCATCACAATAATCAGACAAAAAATCACTGTTGCAAAAAATGAGGATTTTCCACCTACACAAAATTGGATCGGATACTGTCATGTGCAGAACAAAGCTAAGGCAATGGTAATATTAAAATTTTCTATATTCAGCATTGTGTTCAATGGACAATTATATACATACATCACATGCACATGTAATCAACACAAACCTCGTTAAGAATTGACTCATCATTAAGAAGCTGTTGCAGACTTTCCAACAAGGGAATATAGTATGCATCATCTGTTTTTTCGACATCTCTCAATCTATTTCCTCTTCTTTTCTTTGTGTGGTATTTTCCAAGAACAATCTTTTGTGGTTCCTAAAAAGTGAAATATTGATTGTAAAATTTTGATTACTTTTTTTATAAATTTCTAAACCAATTTTACAACTTACCACAAGATTAAACTCCTTCTTGTAGTATTCATATTGGAGATACTCTTGGTCAATACCAGCAAAAGGATTTGAGATTGGGTTGTCTTCATCAAATAACTCATTCACCTCTGGTAGGTTGTTTAAGTCAATCCCAGCGTTTTAAGGCAGCTAGTTATACCAGAATTTAAAAGGTTAATGCTTGTTTGAGTAACCTTCGTAGCATTCTCAACGAAGGAATCAACAACAGTTTGAGGTACACGTCCTCTGTCTTTGAAATTTAACAAACATAAAGCATTCGCTCTAGATAAATTGTCCTGGTCAGCCATAATGTCAAACTCTTCTCCCTGTTCAGGGTCTGTATTATCAATCTCATGATTTTGATTAGCATCGTCGTTTCCCTATCAGTATTCAACTCTGCGCTGTTCCTCGTATTGCGCACGATGTTATGTTTTCGAATAAGGTGATTTCTCAATGATAAAAATTTCTTAAACGTCCTGGCACAACCATCGATGCCACAAACAACATGAAAATTTGGTTCATCACGATGAACACGGCCAATATGTGTTATTAGTAATTGAAGAGAATCTGAAACGAATTCTAGGCAAATATTACATCGATATAGACGCTCCATGACATAATTCACTTCAAGAATACAATTCACTTCTGAAGAGAGTGCCGGCTCAACTCTGTTACCATATATGGTGTGAAATGTGATATTAGCGACTATATGCAAAAACGCGGTAAAATGCTTATAGCCAACTGTCACTGTCAAACTGTTTCATATTTCATTTCATGCTTTTCATCGTGATTTCACCTGTTTGTGCAGCGTTGTCAAATTATATTTTATTGTGAACTAAACGTAAAAGTCAATATTACCAGGCTAACAGAGCCATTGGATTTAAGTTATTTGCTTTCGACGTTCTCCCTTCTTTTAAAAAGGTAAATACAAAGCTTTTTTGAATGTAATTTCTTATGAAATTTCTTGTGACACATAATTCTCCTCGTGCTTATATTTCATGTAGAAAGTTTTGTATTTGTGTTGTACAAATTTTTATACGTTTAAGGTCGGATGGATTCCACGTTGCTTGATAATCTTAAGAAGGCAGGGGTAAAGGACAGTGTAATTTCTATTCTTGAAGATGAAGAGGTATGTGTATAAAATTAAATTTAGCACGAGTGCATGAATTTTTGCGTGTTGACGTTGTGACTAGACGACTTTTTGTTGCTTTTGTTAACACTGCTTGGTAAATATGGACTCCATACCGAAAAATCAATACTTGAATTTAGTGGGGAAAATTATTGAGGGAAATAAAATGTAAAGATAAAAAATGACTAAGTAATCTAAGACGTCAAGCATTATGAGTGAAAGTTCAACTGCTGTGGCTCCAAACTACATTAGACTATGAAGTAAAAATACCAAATCAATATTATTGCAGCATGCTAAGTTGATGTTCGAATAAATTACTTCATTTTTTTTACTCCGGTCCGCGGAATCCTGGCAAATGTTAAAGCCAATAAATTAAGCTGTTTTAGTAATTTAAAAAAGTTATTTGGAAAACGTTTTTAACAATGGCTTTGGATGATAGTTCTCACTCGGAAAGCGAGTTTTACTATGCCGACGAGCTTGGAAATATCGTGGAAAATGTTAGCGAAAATATAGCAGAAAACGTAAACATGGATGAAAGGGACGAAAGTTTTACGCATGAAATTCAAGATTACATTATGGCACAACGGCCATAACCGCTTGACAAGAAATAAATACGTTATTTACCGTTTATATTTCGGTCCGAATATTTTTACATTTATTTCACGCGCGTTCTGATTGGTCAAAGCCCAATTCAAACATCAAATGGCTGTTCTTTTTTCGCTTGAAGCGAAAAAACAACTCGACCAGTATCCTCCTGTACGAACCTCTCGCTCAGTCATTAACATATATATATCTTTTTAATTTAATTTTGATTTTTTGTACTTGAATAGTTTGATTCAGCTGGTATTTTAAACAATACATCTGATGAGCTGTTGAAGGCATGTGGCATAAAAGGAGGGCAAGTTATACGAATCAAAATGCATTGGCAACGATTAACAACTTGGACAAGTTTCTACCATTAAGAAATGTTCCATCCACCATTGAACCATCCACCCAGAAGATCGCTTTATCCACTAGTCATTCCTTTGCCATAAATGACAATGTCAGCAATTCTTCAGCGTCAATTGAAGAAGCTCATTTGTCAACAGGCACACCGTCACCTACAACATCCAGTACACCTCGACATACCATAGCATCTGAAAAGAGTGATCAACCTTCACCAAGCTTTGTACTTGTGGAAGAAAGGAAACCGAACAAGAACTGGATAAAAGATTTTAAACTTCCTATTTCTGTATGTTAAATAATATATCTCATAATAGGTCACATTCTGATGTTAAAATTTATCTTTTGTATTTTACAGTTTTCTCCAAGAGTGAATGAAGCACTGCAAGCAGGAAAACTTAATGGAAACCTTAGGGATGAGTTTACTAGGGACATTTGTTCTTCTATTAAAGCTCATACAATGTTTCCATCCAGAGAAGAAAAAAAAAGAGTGGCGTCCATGATTGTAGAAAAATATACTTTTCTTGTCGATTCACTTGGAGCTGGTACAGTAAGTCATATTCATATTATTTAATGCATATGATAATCTTTAGAAGAAATCCTATAGCTTTGCTCGCTATCTCTTATAATGTACAGCATGAACTTTCTTCGTTACAGGGTCATGGTTGAAAGCAATCACTAATCGATTCAAAAACATGCGTAGAAAGAAGACAAATTCAACAACAAGATCTGTTTGTGTGTCTCAAACTACACAAAAGCAGCCAGAAGCACAAATGAAAAGACGTAAGCTGTATGATGTTTATGATATGGATAATGGTGAGACTGCAGAAACGTGCGAAGAACATAAAAAAGCCATGGTAACCGAGATGACGAAAACAAACAAAAGATATAGACTAATTAAAGAGCTCATGGAGTTGACCTACCCTACCGGCGCCAACAATTTATAAATGAACCAAAAGTGTTGAATGAGCTACTGACTGAGTATCCAGCTCTTCAGCTTGTTTCAGAGGTAAGAATAAATATTTTTGAGCAGAACTATTGCATAGAACTATCCTCAAAATCATGGGGCAGCTAATTTTACCAGTTGTAGTTGACATCTTTGCAGTAAACTTGCTTTTTGTAACTTGTATTTTGCAACTGGAATAGGTAAAAGCAGAATTTGGTCGAATTTTGGCAGACCAAAATGCAGCCAGCAACATGGTTATCCATTACAATAATATGGTTCAAAATGTAATAAAATGGGCAGGCAATAGTGACAACAAACACATAAAAATATTGATGTCAGACATGGAGGCCATGCTGTTGCAAAAACCTAATAAGGAAGCTGGTATGTGTATTCAATTAAGTCTGTCCATTTACAGAGTTCCAGCGGTGGATTTATGGGAGGGTGCACAGGGTACTCACTTCTCTAAGCTCTCGTCAACAGCGTGGTGCATAGAGGGATAAAAATGGCATTTTCATGACTTTTAAGTTTTAATTAACGCTGAACATTTACTATTATTATATATAAAATATTTAGCGAATTTATTTGTTTCTAACATTCGGATTTTAGTTGCTCACAAAACCAAGCCCCCTAAAAACTCTATGCTCGATCCACCACTGTAGAGTTTCATCTTAAAGCATGAGCACTTAAATCTACAATGGCAAAATGCGTATACTGTAAATATTAATCAGTTGGTTGTATATTTTGCAGATATAAGGAGTGCAGTTACAGCATTGATTATTCAGGTTGTGTTGAATGAAAATCCACGGCAAATTGCTTAGTTTTCAAGATCTGCTGCGTAAGTAATAGATATCGAAACTATATAAAACTGCATGGATAAAATTTTATGTATGCTTTAATAAAATACAATTATATTACTGTCATGACATGACAATATTGTGTCTCACTTTCAATGACCTAATAATTCTAATTGTGTTTATGTTTATGCTGTTGTTTAGGAAGATGACTCTTTTGATGATGAAATAGCAAACACCACCTACCCACGACTAATTGGATCGGGAGAATTAGGGAGTCTGGACCCCCTTGTAATTGTTACTGAAGGGCAAATTTTTTTAAATCTGTCAAAAAAAAATATAGAAATTTCATTGTCTATAGTACTACTTCTAGGTACATTTTATGTACTTAATATGGAGTATACACCAAAGGCCTGTAACATTTATGCCCTTTTGGAAGTAGTTTTGATGGGTAAGCCCACAAATGCAAAGAAAAGGGTTTCAGTTCAAAAGTTTGTGAAAAGTTTGGGGCTTGAGAGATTATAATATAGTAGTATTTCTAAGATGTTTTATATATTTAGTTATATATATATACATTTAACTTTACTTGTTTCATATATTGACTTGTTTATAGTATGTTTTATGTTTTGTATATATTTATATGTGTGAATACATGCATATAAATCATTTGATTTTTAAATATATTTAATGCTTAGCATTTTGTGTCGCGTGTTTAACTGGCCTTACATAAAACAATAAGAAAAGGGTTACAAAATAACACCGAATTTAAGTGTCATTTTGACACCGGACGTTAAGGGCTAAATTAGCACTTTAAAAAGTGCTATAATAACACCAAGAATAGGTGCTATTTTCGCACCAAACTCGGTGTTAATTTAACACCAGTAAGAAAATAACACCCGAAATGGTGTTATTCTGTACCTTTTAATTTAACACGACTTTTTAGTGTTAAATTAACACCTTAAAATTTACAGTGTTGCCATCACGATTTGTTGCGGAGGATCTTTTGAAAACCGTTTTGTGTAACGAAGGGTTCGTCTGCGTATAGTCTTCCTCAACAATCAGAGGAAAAGGCTAACAGAGACTGTTGTCAAAGACCGAGTTGTTGCACTAAAGCAAATCCTTTATATTTTAAATTTTATTTATATTAACCGAGACTGCGTTTTTTAAAAGGCATCTACTTTCAACTCGAGTTTTTAATTCAATTTCAGCATGCAAATGTCTTGTTTGTCTCTGAGACACTTGATCTCTAGTATATACTCCAATCCGATTTCACATATAAGTGGTAGAAGTCAAAATCAATTAGAAATCGTGAATGCCTTAATGGCCTTGCATTTTTGCCTATGCA